AAAATAAAATTAAATTAAACTACTTTTAAAAATAAGTATTTATTGCATTTGTGGGATTGAAGATAAAGTGTAGTTAAGTTATTAAGAACAACACTCACAGATACTGGTTTATGTTTTAAAGTAATTGCATCATTTTTTAGTGTCAAAATTAATTTAACTGACCATGCTAGCAGGCATTAGGAATTATTATCAAAATGACATGTTTTCTATTAATTCAACTGACATGTATGCAAAAAGATGTAAAGATGTTAGATGCAGGCACTTGTTTTCTGAACATATCTTCTAACCAGAATGTAGCCTACAGATGATGTCCCAGTGCTCCTTCTGAAAGCGGTCCCTTCTTCTCTGCCTGTGGAGCCATTACTCGAGTCTGTCTTGAGATGTCATGTCTTCTCTATAGCTTTTCATGATTTCTTTTGTTCTTCTCTGTGTTCCAGTGCTAGTCTATATATGAGACTGTTTGGGTACATATTTTTTGTTATAGTTATTTGCTTCTCAGACTGCATTTGGGTGTCCTTCATTGAATTTCTATTATATGTAAATGCATACAGTTTCCTATAAGAAAACAATTCATACTCTTCCGGGATGTCTGCACTAGTTGGTCCAGTTACCTGTTTGATTGTGCTTGCTGGTTTATCTGCTACCTAGGAATCACAGCACAGGCCCTGTTTCTGCAAAACAAGGGTATGGACTAGGGATTCCTAAGCTCTCCTATATCTCCACAATAGTGCCATTCTATGATTCTAATCCATCACTAGAAATGTATTATGAAATAGTTAATATTTAAGGGATGCTTAGAGAATTTTTAATGAGAAGTAGATACTTGTAGTTAGTGTTAATCGATAGAAGTGTTATTAACCTTTTCTTTTTTTTTGAAAGAATGTACTTTGAAGAATAAATTACAATCTGGTGAGATATTTTCATGGTTTAATAAAATTTAGCTTTTAAAAACAAGCATCAGTAATGTTGACTATAGAAACCAAGAACCTTGCATATAGTTACAATAAAAAGGAGAACAATATCAATGTACAGTTTTCATAATTTTTCAAAATATTTTAAATATGAGAGTAAGTTCTTATTCCTTCAGTTTCTTTGTAAAGGAGGCAAGACAAGTACTCTAAGATCTAGAGAGATTAAGGGCTCATTCATTCCTTAAATGAAAATGTACTGAGCATTTACACATGGGTACAATGATTGAAGGTACAATGATGAATAATTTACCCTACTTGACTTCAAGAGTAGGAGAGACAAATTCATAAACAAATATATTAGTTGATAATATTGTCAATTATGGTAGAAGCATGGAAAATGGTGCACATAAATCTGGAGTGGTGTTTGGTGAGACTCCACAGAAGAGGTGATTTTTAAAGGATTTTCATTAAAGAATGAGTGGAGATTTGCCAGAAGAAGAGGAATAAGGTGAGGAGAAGGGTCTTGCAGGAAAAAAGAAGGAAAATATGTAGAGATCCAGAGTTATGAAAGAGCCTGGGTATTGGAAGAACAGTGCCAAGTTCAATGCAGCTAGAGCATTACTGTCCAATATAAATATAAATATGTAAGTTAAAAATTTTAAATTTCATATGGAAACATAAACAGGTGAATAATATATTTTATTTAACCTAATACATCTGAAATATTTATTTTTTTCATACTTAACTATGAAGTATTCGATTTTAAAGATTAAATCAGGTCTGTATTTTACACTTAGAAAACATCTCAATTTGGGCTAGCCACAGTATCTAGAAGCTTCCCTAAGATTTTGTGTGTGTGTGTGTGTGTGTGTGTTTGTGTGTGTGTGTGTTTAAGAGAGAAAGAGAGGAAAAGGGTAAGGGAGAAAGACAGAATGAGAAAAAGAATGAAAACCTTTGTGGGGTGCCTGGGTGGCTCAGTTGGTTAAGCATCCGACTCTTGATTTCAGATCAGGTCATTATCTCAGGGTTCTGAGATCAAGCCTGGTGTTGGGCTCTGTGCTGAGTATGGAGCCTGCTTAAGATTCTCCCTCTCTCCCCGCTCTTGTGCTCTCTCTCCCTTTCTCTCTCAAAACAAAACAAAAACTAAAAAAAGAATGAAAACATTTGTGTGCTCTAGAGGGGGAAATGGAGAGATGAGGCTGTGGTTGTTGTTGGAGCATATTTTGAAAGGCCTTGTATACTGGCTGAATTTGGAATTTATCCCTATAATATAGTAGCTTATGACTGTGATTCTCAAATTATCTTTGGTGAAAGGCCAGTTTTTAAAATTTCAAATTTGTTGCAGACTGATACTTTTGCAAAATAGAACAGCAGTGAGTTAGAAAAATGAAATAAAAGAGACATACAAAGAGAAGCACCATTTTTTAATCATTAGATTTGACAAATGTACAATTATTTAGTTAGTTGTTTATAAAGATGTCTAAATTAATGCTATCTAATAGAACTTTTTATGATGATGGAAATGTTATGTCTGTGTTGCCCAATATGGTAGCCACTAGCCACATGTGGGTATTAAGCATTTGAAATGGGGCTAGTATGACTGAAAAACTAAACATTTTATTTAGTTTAAATCAATTTAAATTGAAATAACTACATGAGGCTATTGTCTCCTTTGTTGCACAGGACTGGATAGGTTTACTCTTAACTTCTGTATCTACTGTAGACTACTGAAAACTAGCTGTGGACTGGCCTTGGTCCTCAGACCATACTTTAAGTAGCATTGTTTAGAGTATGGACTGTAGAGTGAGAAAGCCTTTGTGTGTCTGTGGCAAGTCACTTAATTCTCTTGCTACTCCAGGATCCTCATTTATAAAACAAAAGTTACTACTTTTTGAAGAAACTAACTCATAGAGTTGTTGTGAGGATTAAATGTGTAGCAGGTGGAATTAGGGAAAGCACCAAGAAAAGATGATATTTGTAGGGGCCTCAATGGATGAGTTCAATAGACAGAGAGGAAAGAGCCTATTAGGTACAGGGAACTCTAAAACCCATTTGGATAATATTCTATTTAGAGGGAGGGGCTGCAGACGGTATGGTTTTAACCCTGTCACTGCTACCACACTGCTAACACTCTCTCTCTTTCCTAGTTGTCTTATTTTAACCTTTTAGCATAGCTTAAACTGGATCACTAGGTAACATGTGATTCTGTGGTTTTAGTAAATACTTCCTATTCAGCCAATCATTGTCTCTTTATACTTCTTCATTCCTGGGAGTTATGGTGCCTGAAGTTGATGGTTGAAGTTGGGCAGTGGTTGAGAAGGGAAGGGGACTCCTGTTTGAAAAGCAGTCCCTGGGTTATGGCAGATAGCTGTGAGATTCTTACCCCTAAAACATGTTTTTTACTTATATAGATTATTTTAGGAAGAAAACCAACTGGAAGAATCAATGAAGTTCCTTCTTTTCATATCTGTTGGTGTTGTTCACCTTTTCTCCCTGAATTCTGGGAAAGTGATATATAAGAATGACATCTCTCAGAGGACTTTTCAAGAAGTAAAAGAAGAAATAGCCCACTATGGAGATGTTGCTAAAGCAATCATCAACCTTGCTGTTTATGGTATAGCCCAGAACAGATCCTATGAGCGATTGGCACTTCTGGTTGATACTGTTGGACCCAGACCAAGTGGCTCCAAGAGCCTGGAAAAAGCCATCCAAATCATGTACCAGAACCTGCAGGAAGATGGGCTGGAGAATGTCCACTTGGAGCCGGTCAAAATACCGCACTGGGAAAGGGGAGAAGAATCTGCTGTGATGCTGGAGCCAAGGATTCACAAGATAGCTATTTTGGGTCTTGGTAGCAGCATTGGGACTCCCCCAGAAGGTATCTTTTGTCTTTTCAAGTCAATTTGCTGTGTACGGTGTTAAACTAGTGTCATGGGACATAGTTGATTACAGTATGCATGATTCATATTATAATTTAGGTGATAAGAAAGATGATAGAATCATTTCTCATTCCATTGGCTTGATGAGTTTTCTACTCTTATATTTGTTTTTCTTCCTTTTTCCTTTCCTCCCTTTCTTTCTTCTATTTCTTTCTGAAAGAAAGTTTATTGGGTAGTGTCACTTTTTAAATGAAGATCTACAACAATTGATCCATGATATTTATCAGCCCTATCACTTAGTAACTTGTAGCTAGTATAACATTAGTTTCATTCTGTGGAGCATTGAGATAAATGTGTATAGGATGGAAAAACTATAATTTCCTCCAAGCAGCCTCAATGTACAGAAATTTTTAGAATTAATGAAATGGGGAACAGATCTTTACACATGGAATTGATTTGGGTTAATTATTTTTATAGAACCAGAGGCCTCAAATGCAAGGAATTATCCAGGGTGAATTTCTACCTTAACTTATCAGCACCCTAGTTCAGCTTCATCAGACAATATAAATGACTAGATCAGGGATATATAACTGGTCACTAGTGAGCTGTGAATCAGTCTTGGACTATTCATGGACTCTTTTCCCATGGACTGTTCATATATTCATGGACTATTTTCCCATGGCAGAGAAACTATTTTATAGAAGCTAATTCTGCATGGAGCACTGAATGTTATGCACAAACAATGAATCATGGAACACTACATCAAAAACTAATGATGTAATGTATGGTGATTAACATAACAATAAAAAATTTTAAAAAAAAAGAAGCTAGTTGACATTCTCTAAAAAGTTTATAGAAAGTTCTGACCTTCTCTAATGCCAAAAGAAAGACCCAGTATAGAAGTAGATGGTCAGTTTTTTTTTTTTTAAATCTTTTTTGAGGTATAATTCACATACCATAATATTCACTCATTTAAAATTTACAATTCAGTGGTTTTTAGTATATTCACAGAATTGTGCCTCTACTGCTACGATCTAATTGTAGAACATTTTCATTGCCCTAAAAAGAAACTTCATATTCCTTAGTAATTCCTTTGTATCCCTCCTGTACCTCTCTCCTAAGCCCAAGGCAACCACTAATTTTCTTTCTATCTTTATGGATTTGCCTATTCTAAATATTTCACATGAACAGAATAATATACTGTGTGGTCTTTTGTGACTGGCTTTTTTCATGTAGTGTAATGTTTTCCAGGTTTATCCATGTTGTAGCATGAATCAATACTTAATTCATTTTTATTATTGAATAATATTTCATTTTATGAATTTACCACATTTTATCTATCCATCAGTTGATGGACATTTGTTTTTTCTTATCTTTTGCTATTGTGAATAACACTGCTAAAAACCTTCATGCATAAGTTTTTGTATGGATGTATGTTTTCATTTCTCTTGGGTATATACCAATGAGTGGAATTGCTGGGTCATACAGTAACTCTATGATTAACTTTTTGAGGAATTGCCATACTCTTTTCCAAAGTGACTGTACCACTTTACATTTCCAGGAGTGTATTCCAATTTTTATACATACTTCTCAATATTTGTTATTGTCTGTCCTTTTGGTTATGGCTATCCTGGTGGGTGTGAAGGGATATCTCATTGTGGTTATGATTTCCATTTCCTTAATGATTAATGATGTTGAGCATTTTTCCATGTTCTTATTGGCCAGTTGTGTATCTTCTTTGGAGAAATATTCAAATCCTTTGCCCAATTTTTAATTATGCTATTATTATTGAGTTGTAAAATATCTTTATGTACTCTGGATACAAGTCTCTTATTAGATGTATGATTTATTAATATTCTCTCCCATTCTGTGGATTCTCCTTTCACTTTATTGATGGTAGTATTGCTGCAGAAAAGTTTTTACTTTGATCTAGCACAACCTATCTAAATTTTTTTTGTTGTTGCTTGTGCTTTTCGTGTTATATCTAAGAAACCTTTGCCTAAACCAAAACCTTTGCCTAAATCTCTGCCTAAACCTTTGCTTTTCATGTTATATCTAAGAAACCTTTGCCTAAACAAAGATTTATTCCTATATTTTCTTCTAAGAGTTTTATAGTTTTAGCTCTTACAGTTAGATCTGTGAATTAATTTTCATATATGGTCAGGTAATCCAATCTTCATCCTTCTGCATGTGGTCGTTCAGTTGTCTCAGCATCATCTATTGAAAAGACTATTCTTTCCTCATTGAATTGGGTGTATTACATTAATGGATTTTCAGGTTTTAAACCAACTTTGCGTTCCTGGGATAAATTCCACTTGGTTATAACATAAATTTTTTTTTATATATTACTGAATTCATTTTGCCACTATTATGTAGAGTAGTTTTACATCTATACTCATAAGGGATATTGTTCTGTAGTTTTATTTTGTGTGTGTGTGTGATGACTTCATCTGGTTTGGTATCAGGGTAATTCTATACTCAAATAATTGGTTGGAAAGTACTACCTGGTATTTTATTCTTTGGAAGAATTTGTGACAGTTTGGTATTAATTCTTTAAGTTTTTGGTAGAATGCACAAGCTATCTGGTCCTGGGATTTTCTTTGTGGGAAGATTGTTAATTATTAATTTAATATCTTTCCTTGTTATAGATCTATTCATATTTTCTATTCTCAAGTCAGTTTTAGTAGTTTGTGTCTTTCTAGGAATTTATTCATTTTGCCTAAATTGTGTAGTTTGTTGGCATATGGTTATTTACAGTATTTCCTTATAAGTATTTTTATTTTTGTGAGGACAAGGATCTAAATTACTGTTTGGTGTCACTTATTTTCAGCCTGAAGAATTCCCTTCATTTTTTTTTTTCAAAGCAGGTCTGTTAGCAGAAAATTCTCCAACCTTTCATCCATTCTTACCTATTTATTTAATTTTCATTTTTGAAACATAGTTCTACTGGATATAAGATTCTTGGTTAACAATTTTTTACTTTCAGCACTTTGAATTTGTCATCCATTGTCCTTTGGTCTCTGCTGCTTCTGATGAGAAGTCCCTTGTTAATATTATTGGGATTCCCTTGTATGTGATGAGTCATTTTGCTCTTACTGATTTTCTTTTTATTTGTGGTTTTCATAATTTTGATTCTGATGTACCTAGGTGTCGATGTCTTTGCTTTTTTCTTGCTTGGAGGTTGTTGAGCTTCATGGATGTATCTAGTGTTTTTTATCAATTTGGGAAGTTTTCAACTATTATTTCTATGAAGATTTTTATACCCTTTTTTGCTCTTCTGGGCCTTCCACTGTGAGTATGTGGGTGCAATTAATGGTGTTCCACATTATTCTGAGGTTCTGCTCATTTTTCTTCCCCTTTTTTCTCTCTATTCTTTATGTTATATAACCTGTATCAATCTATCATCAAGTTCATGGATTCTTTCTTTTGCTAGTTTAAATATATGGTTGAGTCCTTTACTGATTTTTTCTTTTCAGTTATTATAATTTTCAGCTCCAGAATTTTTTTCCTGCAATTTTTATCTCTTCATTGGTATTCTTTATTTGCTAAGACATTGTCATCATACTTTTCTTTAATTCTTTAAGTATGGTTTCCTTTAGTTCCTTGAACATATTAATAAAACCTGCTTTGAAGTCTTTTTCTCATATATCCTACAACTGAGCCCATCAAAGGCAGTTTCTAAGGCCTGATTTTTATCCTATGTATTGGTCACACTTTTGTATTCCTTTTCATGTCTCATCATTTTTTTTTGTTGAAAACTAAACATTTAAAATAATATATTCTAGCAACTCTCAATACTGATTCTCCCTTTCCCTCTCCTGCCTGCTGAAAGTTGATGTTGTTTTTGTTGTTTGCTTTGCCCTTTATTTGTTTAATGATTTGGTTGTACTAACTCTGTGAAGTCTGTTTCTCTCACAGTGTACAGATTCTAATGTCCCTGTTTAGAGTGCTTTTTTCCCCTCCTTTTTTAACTTTTAGTATGGCTCACTAGGAGTCAGCCCTGGATTCCCATAAACTAATTATTGGTTAAAGGTTGTGCACAGATCTCATTAGTCGGTTATATTTTTCCCCTTTACTGTTAGATGTACACATGGCTAGGGGGCTGTTATTAAAACTTAAAGAGTTTATGTTTTTGCCCCAAGTTCAGCTACAGCCTAGTAACTTGGAAGTTCTTTCTACCATCAACCTTGAGAGGGTACAGCCTAGGGCATGTACATACCCTTCCAACTTGCTAGGATCCAAGTGATTTTATTATTATCTTGTTTAACAATATTTTCCTCCATATCAGAATAACTTATTTTTCAGATTGCATTTGGTCAGTTTGTGCGTAAGCCTCTTATGCCAGTGAAGCTTCTGCCCTTTGTTGATGGATCTGTGTGCAGCTTGGGAAGGGTTTTCAATCTGACCTATGTCCTGTTTTAATTGTTCCTGAATAGGAATATCTGCATAGCTTTTCCAGTCACCAGGGTTTACTGTGATCCCAAGAGGGCTTTTCTTGGTTGTTTCTTTTCTTGATTCTTTCTGTTAAACTTTGGATTGCTCTGCCATTTTGCTTGGTACTGGCAGTATCATGAAGCTTCTAGTGCTCCTTTAATTGTCTTCTACCAAGTTCTCCATTGTTTTCAACAACACCCTTAGGCATGGAATTCTCTGTGTTCCACTCCAAATATAGTCACTATCCTGGGTAAGAACTGCAAAGCTCTTCCCTTTGTTTGCTTGCCTCTTTGCTAGGAGAACCTTGCTACTTCCCAGGAACTAGGCACAGTGATAATGGCCTTTTTCTCCCAGAGTGATATCCTTAGCAGGTGCTAGAAGGGGAGGGTGGTAGCTCCTGGTCTTCTCAGATTGCCTGTCCCAGCGTGGGACCTCTGCCTATGAGTAAGCTGATAGACAGAGGTGATCAGGATCCAAGTACTATTGGTGGCTATACTTAAGGTAGGATTTCTACCATATGAGTTGGGGCTGGGTAGAGGAATAGGGCCTCAGCCTTTTTGGAGTGGAGTGCCCATAATAGTGTTTTTGTAACATGGAGCTGGGGATGGG